CCCTCTCCCTCTCTGGTGAATTAAAAAAGTAAAATAAATAAATAGATAGATACATAGATAAAATTAAATAAATATGTATGAAAAAAGAAAATAAGAGACTTTGTAGATAATCTAGGGAGACCTTCTTAGCTTAAAGTGGTAATGCAGAAGCAATATAGAACATAGGTAAATGATTTTGCAGTGAGAAGAAAAAAAATAAATCTCTCTGACCAAAAAAAAAAAAAAGCCCATAAACAAAGTTATTAATAGGACTTTTAGGAATGTCCATAAAGAAACGGAATTAAAATGTCCAAAGGATAGTAAGACGACGGTTATGTAATAGTAGCTTCAAGTGGCAGTCTTTTTAGAATGTAATACCATAAATGTTACCCCTTACCTTGATATATATTTTGAACCTAAAATAGGGTTGATTTTAAATGACAGGTAATACTCCATATTTTAAAATATTTTAGGATGCCAGTTTTCATGCAGCACCCTGTTTGTATTCATTCCAAGCAAAGGCTTGTTCTTCAAATACGGAAAAGCATAAGAAGAAAGGAGGGTAGTTTCTGTAAATGCTAAAGACCAGTGCCTGGATATTTGAAAACAATTTGCATTTACTATATTTTGTGTGGTCTTAAAAGAATACTCCCTGCCCTAAAGATTTGATGCAACAATTGCTTCATTGCCTTTTAGCTAAGATCAAACGGAACGAATTGAAACAGCATATTAAAAGGGGCATACATTGTACCTGATAAAATTGACCCAGAAGGACCACAATTGAGACATCTTTCAGTAAACTTACTAGATTTTAAAGATAGAAAAAAATTTTGGCTATTCAAGCAAAAAAGATGAAGTCACTTATAAGGAAAAGAAAAATCAGAATATCATCAGACTTTTCACAAGCAATGCTTTATGCCAGAAGAAAAATAGAGTAACTTATTTAAGATACTCAGTGATCAAAAGAAAATGTCAGCCAAGGATTTTTATATCCAGCCAAACTGACTTCCAATTGAAAGTCTGCAGACAAACTTACCAGCATCAAAGAACTCAGAGGCTTTTGAGCCCTTACAGACAAATGTGCAAGAAAATGAGCTTCAGACAACCAAAAGAAAAAAAAGAAAAGGAGAGAAAAGAAAAGAAAACCAGACATGGCCATCAGGCCTGATAATGAGCATTAAATATGTATTTACTTGTAGCATTAAATTAGAATTCATTATAGGGGAGGAAGTATTGTATATATAATGTTCATTAACCTGGACAATCTTTTTTTTTTTTTTAGACATTATCTTTTTTTTTTTTTTTTTTTAAATTTAACTTTATTTATTTATTTAATTTGACCAGAGAGATAAAGAGAGAAAGCAAGAGAAAGTGAGAAAGCAACCCGCCAAGTCCGGGACTTAAACTGCAGTAGGCCAAGTGGGAGTCCAGCGCCCTTAACCACTATGCCACCTGCCAGCCCCAACCCTAACAGTCTTGATACAGTGTAGCTGTGTTTTTAAAAATGAGTGACTAGGGCCAGCAGATGGCTTGGTGGTTAAGGTGTTGGACTTCCACATGGCTGACTGCTATCCTGGACCCAGTGGCTTGAGAATCACGCCAGGAGTGTATGTCATATACCCATAGTCCTGAAAGGAGAGTGAAGAAGGAAGAATACCCAGTGAGGGAGGGCATATTGAAAACATTTAGCTGTTTTCAGTAATCATGAAAGTGATGAGAATAATAGTCTTGTTATTCTGAGACTGCTATGTGTATATGAGAGAAGTGTGGCATAAAGCAAGTGAAGAGTAATGTGGTGTTCTAATTCTGTCTGCCCTAGAGAAGCAGAATTCTCCTGGAATAAAGAAGTTATAGATAGAAGATAAGAGGTCAAAGTGTGTGCTTTTGAATTAGAATTAGAAATAACAGTATGAACTCGAGATATTTTATAAGTACAGATTGAGAATCCCTTTTCCAGTTGCTTGGGACCAGAATTTTTGTTTCTTTTTTTTTGGAGAGGTTTTTGCTGTAGGGCACACGTGCTCGCCAGAAAGAGACAGAGAGACAGACCCCCCCCCCCGGGGGGGGGCGGGCCAGGTGGAGTTCCCTTGGGCACACATACACACGTGCCCAGCATGAGTTTAAGTCACTGGGTCCGGGACTCAAACTGCGCTGCGGTCGATGAGAGTCCAGCAACATTGCCATATGCTTACTGCTGGTCCCCCAGAATTGTTTTTGATGTCGCTTTTTTTTTTTTTTTTTTTTTTGGAATATTTGTATGTACATAATGAAATATCCTGGGAATGGGACTCAAATGTTTAAAAAAAAAAGAAAAACTATGTTTCCTATACACCTTGTACACATAACCGGAAGATAATTTTATACAATATTGTCATGGTGGCACTCAAAAGGTTTTGGATTTTGGATTTTCACCTTAAAGATATATTTAACCTTTATGTGGATGTGTATGTGTACATGTGTAAACACACACACAGGACTTGCTAGCTCTATCTACTATGAAGATCTGTGATAGAGATAGTAATTAACCTAGTAGAAATGATCTCTAGTATTGTGATCTATACCATTTTGCACTGAAAGAAGTCAAGGTTTTAGGAGAAGTGACTGATTCTAGGTCTAGTACAGGAAACGTAAAAGATGGGGACCAATAGTTAGCGTAATGGCTATGTCACTGGATTCCCATGTAGTTGACCGTGGTTCACGTCCTGGAACCAGTGACTTAAACTCACGCCGGGCACGTGTGCATGCATGCCCAAGATCCCGAGAGGAGAAGTGATTGTGGCGTGGCCATCTTCCCTGGGAGGTGATTTCTCACTTTCTGTCTCTCTGTCTCTGTCTTTCTGGTGAGTGCATGCGCCCTATGGCAAAAACCTCTCCAAAAAGAAAACGTAAAAGATGAACCTGGAGCATACTGGAAGTCTGGAACCAGACAGCAAAAAAACTGACAATACTTTCCATCAGAAACATTTAGGGGCCAACACGAAGAGGCTTCTATTGGCCAAAGCTATGACAATTTGAATATAAATGCAGATAATTACTAGAATAGATTGAAACATAACAAATACATTTAGCTCAATGACTTCACATTAGTACCTAACAGTAGCTAATTGGTCACCTTTGCAGGGTAATATGAACCCCCATAATTATTTTGAAAAAACATTAATAAAAGGAAAGATATGAGCATTTATCCAATATACTATACCATTGGGAGATCAAATTGTAGGTGAGGGGACCAGGAGCTGGCATAATGGTTATATTACTGGATTCTCACATAGTCAACCGTGGTTTGAGTCCTGGACTTGGTGCCTTAAAACTCACTCCAGGTTCATCGTGTATGTACCCAAAATTCCAAGAGGAAAATGAGGAGAAGGGATTGTGGTGTGGCCACCCGCCGGGGGGTGATTTCTCCGTTTCTGTTTCTCCAGTGAGCCCATGCACCCTATAGCAAAAAATCTCTTAAAAAAATAAGTTGTAGGTGAGAGGATGTTTTTCTTTCTTGAAGTATTCCAGCAATAAATGAAGAAGGTGGAATTAGAATATCACCACTATAGTATTGTGTAACTGTTATAGTACTGAGAGATCTAGGCCTTGAGTGGTGATGGCTGTGACCATCACAACAGTGTTAGTCTGGCCAGCCCCAAAGCACAGTGGTTTTGTTCTGTGCAAAGGAGACCATATCCAACATGGCCAACAATGGTTCGAATCCTGGCTTTGGTGGATTGAAGAATACATTGGGTACGAGTGAATGCATGCCCAGAAGCCTGACAGGATACAGTTGGGAGGATGGCAGCATCATCAAACCATTGGGGATTCTTTCTCTATCTCTCTGGCATGCACTTGTGCCCTCTGGAATGAGAGAGAGAGCACGCGTGCATGCCTGGCATTACTAGCTTACAGTGAAAGAACGCACTATGTTCTATGGAGGCTTCTTGCCAAATAAATGAAATCAATCTGGTCAAGCCTCTACATCTTATTTGTGGAAAATTCTGAAGACCGTACTAAATACATCATGTGGGTGCAGCCAGCAAATTCCAGACTATGGAAAACTGTAGCCAAACAATGTAGTTTCTTCAGTAAATAAAATGCCAAGAGAAAGAAGATGGAGCCTACTATTGAAGAGATTTGAAAGGTAGCAAAACAGCCTAGAGTGTTTAGGAGTGCATATTTAGTGATTGCAGAGAAGAGCAAGGGATGCCATGACCACAGGGTTGTGGGTTGTGGACATTGTCAAGGGGAAGAAGAGAGTCCTCTAGGGTATCTGCAAAGTTCTGTTTCCTGACCTGAGTGATGGATGCAAGAGTATTTGCCTTGTAGTGATTCGTTCCGCTTATTTGTTTCACAGAATCTTCTACACTCATTTATTTAACAACTCAAAGGTTAAAAAGTAGGTGAAACAGATAGGACTTGAGTATATCTCGCTGAGGATTAGTTGAGTCCTTTGTTCCTTCATGAAGTCAGCCCAATAAGTCGGTTATGATCCCTGTGTATATGTGAGAGATCTGATAAGGATTTGATTCACTGTACTGGTTTGCTGAGCTTCTGCTGTACCAGACACTATTCTAGGCACTAGGGCTGCAGCTGGGAACAACACGCACAAAACACTGCCTTCCAGGAGTTTGGCCTGTAGTGGGGCAGGTGAGTAAGGTATGCATTAGGTTCAAACACAGAAGTGCTGTAGAGAAACACTTGTCATGAAAGGGGGCAAGGGAGTGGTGGTGGGGAATGGTGCTGGGTAGGGGAGAAGGCCTTACTCAAAGGGACATTTGAATTGAAAGCTGAGAGGTGAGAAGACAGACTGCTGCTCTGTAGAGAAAGAATGTTCTAGTGAGAAGGTGCTTTGGTGAGTGTCAGGTGTCCCAGCCATGTGGCTAGGGGCCAGATGGCAGGGGAGTGGTGGGAGCTGAGTTCAGAGGACATGGGTGAAAGTGTAAGGGACTTTTAGGTCTTTGTTAGGACTTGGGCTTTTTTTTTTTTTTTTTTTTACTTTGAATAAGGTGGAAAGCCACTGAGGAGGTGGGGTAGAGGGTGGTGGTGATAGCAGGGATCACTGGGGACAGACCGAGGACCAAGGTTCAGAGCAGAAAGCCTCGTGAGGAGAACGCTGCTATGAGGCAGGCTTGGACAAGTTGGTGAGACACGTCTAAGATATGTTTTCTTAGCTGAACTGATAGCTGGTGGCTTGAACGTGGCTTGTGAGAGAAAGCGAGGAGTCCAGGAGGTTTTCACCTTCAGAAGATGAAGTGGCCTTTTGCTAAGGTGAGGGTGACTCTGGGAGAGGAAGAAGCTGAAAGTGCCTGCAAGTTACCTGGCGGGCATGTGGAGTAGCAGGTGGATTTATGGTCTGGGGTTCAGGGAGAAGGATGCTTTGGGATGGAGAAGGAGAAAAGCAGTGGCTGGAGTTCTAAGAGCCCATGAGGCAGGTGCTGGAACCGGCAAAGGATTTGAGGCAGCCCCGCTGTCTCCAGAAACTCACCCAGCTGGGCTTACTTTTTAGGCTGATCTTTTGTCTCCTTCACCAAAAATACAGGCAGGTAGCTACTGAAGCCAGACAGATGACTACATCTCATATTTTCAGCACTACTACATTACAAATGCAAACCCCAAACCATGCTTTCTGCTTCCATGATAGTAAGTACCATGAGACTATGAACAAGTTCTATTTTTCTTATTAAGTAGATTTTTTTTTTTTTAAAGGTTTTTGCCATAGAGCATGTGTGCTCGCCAGAGAGTGATAGAAAGAGGGAAAGTGAGAAATCACTTCCTGGGAAGATGGCCTCACCACAGTCCCTTCTCCATTCTCCTAGGATTTGGGCTACTTGCACATGCACCCAGCATGAGTTTTAAGCTGCCAGGTCTGGGACTTGAACTACAATCAGCCATTTGGAAGTCCAGTGCCTTAACTACTACTCCACCAGCTGGCCCTAACTATATGGTGTTTTGTTTTGTTTTGTTTGGAGAGGTTTTTGCTATAGGGTACATGCACTCACCAGAAAGAGAGAGACAGAGACAGAAAGCGAGAAATCACCCCGTAGTGGGGATGGCCATGCTGCAATCCCTTCTCCATTCTCCTCGCAGGATCTTGGGCACACGCGACACGCGCCCAGCGTGAGTTTAAGCCACTGGGTCCAGGACTAGAACCACAGTCAACCACATGGGAGTCCAGTGACTTAGCCATTACGCCAACCGCTGGTCCCAACTATATGGTTTTTCTAGTGTTAAGTAAAGATATGTAATTGAAAGTCTTAAAATCTAAATTCACACCAACTTCTTACTGTTTTTGCTTTCCAGAAAAGCTTTGACCTGGAAATACTATGCCAAAAAAATTCTGTACTACCTGCGGCAACAGAAAATACTAAATAATCTTAAAGCTTTTCTTCAGCAGCCTGATGACTATGAATCATACCTTGAAGGTGGGTCTTTTCGCACACGTTGGTAGTTTACAGGTAGCTGCATGTCTTTGAGAGCAGTAATAAGGGCCATCTCCAGTGGGAAAGGACACTGTGCTGGCCTGGGCTCCTGGAGGTTGGGATAGTTGGTCTGATTGGTGAAGAAGGCATGATATTTTTTTAAAAAGAATTATTTTATTTAACTTGACTTATTATTGTCATTTTCCAGTTTGATCAGAGAGAGGGGGGAAGTGAGAAAGTAAGCCACCAGGTCTGGGGCTCAAACTGAAGTAGACCGTGTGGGAGTCCAGCGCCTTTAACCACCACTCCACCTGCTGGCCCCAAGAAGACACAATATTTAATTTAGGCCTGGGATTCTGTCAGATCTTTAACTGTCCGCTGAGGAGATAGTTTTCTCATGATGCATCTTTGGTTCAAAATGTGAGATGGATACTTTAGCAAATGAAATGAATTTCTGTTTTTCTAAGCTTGAAAGCGTCAGGTATGTAGTTTTGTCTCCACGTGGCCTTGAGCAACTCCCTTAGCCTGTGGTGGAGTTCGCTGAGGCCAGAATGTTGCCCTATATCAGGGAGGACTGTCCATAGTGAGAAGCAAGGAGAAGAGGTGGTGGGTGGGCAGGGTGGAGGGAGTCACTTTTTGTCCTTACTAGTTGAGTAGGAATAAAATGTGACTTTTTTTTTTAACTTTTTAATTTCTAGAATATTACACAGACACTCCCCTAAATTACAGTTATGAAATATAGATATGACTGTTTTTCCACTTTTATTCCTAGCTGGTCAGTAGTTTCCCAAATTCATGCTTTGGTTTTGTTTTGTTTTCCTTTCCAGCATTTCTCATAGTGCATTCCCATTGCATTACTGTGAGCATGCAGGCTTGGGCCGCCTTTCCCAGCAGTAGCTTGCTGAGGAGTATTTGCCTTTGTGAGCATCACCCCCTCTGCCCTCAAGTCACCCAGAGTCCCAGTGCCACCCCTGTTAGAAACCCAGCCCTGTCACCAGTTCATATGAAAGTTGCCTTGACGATGGCCAATTTCCTTTTTATGTCTCTGCTTGTTCTTCATTGCACTCCATAGTCTGGCTTTCCCCCTCATTCCCACCTTTCCCCTAGACTCCAAGATGTCCTGTTAACCCTACAGATACACCTGGCTTCACTTCCTTGTCAGTGGTATCCCTCTTCCTGTGATTCCCTCTCAAAAAAACTATTTACCCTCCATAGCTGATCTCAAGTCTTACTTACCTTAAGTTTTGATGTCACTTGGAGATGTTACTCACCTCAGAGTTACCACCAGATCATTTAATAATAAACCGTCATTTAATAGTAAATCGCCTTGTGTTTCTGTTTCACGTGTATATATTTAATTTGTCCAACTGATCAGTAAGTTTCATATGTTCTGGTCCTTCCATCATGGTCACTGTGTCCCCCACAGTGCCTGGTGCAGCTGCTTATTGGTTGAATGAAACTCTAATGTCATCCAAAAGGAAATGAAAAGTCAGATCAGTAGACTAAAATAAAATATCCTCAGCACCCTGGAATCCTCTCATAGGCATGTTAGGTTTAAGAGTCCTATCTTCTGGTTATTACACCGTTAAGAATAGTTTGACAAACTTTATTTACCGTAGCTTATATATAAATACAAGTACTTCTTTTTCATTTTTGAAATACAATATTGTGATTTTCAAATAATCCATCAAGGGCATTGCTAGGAAGCCATTAAAGGTTTTTTAGTAGGTGAATGAATAGACATTGGCTCCTGAGTGTTGGCCTTTAGTGATTGACTGGAATAATGGCATTGCCATTTAAGACCTCTAGGATCCAGTATTAGAAAGGGATGGGCCTCAGGAAAGTGCAGCACAAGATCCTGCAGCCTCCAGGGTGGGAAGTTTCATTCTCCAGCCAGTCCCTAGCTGCTGGCAACTCTGGACCTGGGGTCCAGGCTTTTGACACCCATTCAGTGACTTTCACTCCTTGGGATGTAGAAAGGCGTGTTAAGATTCAGAGCTAGTCTGAGATCTCTTAAATTTAAGATATCAAGGGCTTCTCAAGTGAACGTGTCCTATAACCCAGTTGACACTTTGGTCTCTGGTTAAAAAATTACTTAAAATTTTTTTTTTAAATCTTTTTCTTTTTAAGAGAGTAATTTTTTTTGTTTGTTTATTTTTGAGAGTTTTTTGCTATAGGGCACATGCACTCGCCAGAGAGACAGAGAGATAAAAAGTGAGAAATCACCCCCCCCAGGGGGTATGGCCACGCAGCAATCCCTTCTCCTCCATTCTCCTCTCAGGATCCTGGGCACACACGCATACGTGCCCAGCGTGAGTTTAAGCCACCAGGTCTAGGACTCGAATCATGGTCGACTACATGAGAGTTCAGCAACATAGCCATTACACTAACTGCTGGTCCCAAGAGTAATGATTTTTAAGAGACGGTTTTTGCTATGCCCTTTACAGCTTTTTTTTTTCTTTTCTTTTCTTTTAAGAATTATTTAACTTATTTATTTACTTATTTTAATTTGACCAGAGAGGGATAGAGTGAGAGAGAGAAAGGGAAAGGAAGAAAGTAAGCTGCCAAATCTGAGACTCAAGCCACAGTTGGCCTTTTGGGAGTCCAGCACCCTTAACCACCATGCCACCTACCGGCCCCTCTTTACAGCTTTTAACTGCAGGTTCCCTGAGCTTAACTGTTTTATCTAATTTGGAAGTAGGGTTACCCACCAAAGTCCATTGCTGCTATTCACCCTTTAGAGGTATATTGTGTTGAAAGGAGTGTCTGCATTGAGAGCTTTCACCTTTTGTTTGTTTAAATAAAGGAACTATGGTGTAAGTTTGCAGAGTTGTGGATTTTGAACCTGTAATAAGAGAGTTAGGGGGAGAGAAGTTACTTGAAGAGATCTCCTCTATGGCCCTCTCTCTTTGGGAAGGCAGAAATATGCCACATACTACGCTGTTTTGATTGAGATCCACAAAGTCTGAGAGATTTGGTTCATTAAAAAATAAAAAATACTGGGAACCAGCAGTTAGCGTAATGGCTATGTCGCTGGACTCTCACGTAGTCAACCGCGGTTCGCGTCCTGGACCCGGTGGCTTAAAACTCACGCTGGGCGCGTGTGCGTGCATGCCCAAGATCCCGAGAGGAGAATGGGAGGAGAAAGGATTGTGGCGTGACCATCCCCCCTGGGGAGTGATTTCTCGCTTTCTGTCTCTGTGTCTCTGTCTGTCTGGCGATCGCACACGCCCTGTAGCAAAAACCTCTCCAAAAAAAAAAAAATACAGTGAAGAGTAAGCTCTTTTGCTGTGGAATGTTTGTCACTCCTTCTCAGTGTGTTAGCATAGGCTGACTTTCAGGATGTGAGGCTCACATGGTGGGATGCTGTATAATAGAAAGCCATGGCCTAGGGGGTTGGGGGAAATGCAGGGTAAAAGTAGGAGCTGACTCTATAATCCTGCTCCTCCTCAGGTGCCGTCTACATTGACCAGTATTGCAATCCTCTCTCCGACATCAGCCTCAAGGACATCCAGGCCCAGATCAACAGCATCGTAGAGCTTGTTTGCAAAACCCTCCGGGGCATAAATTGTCGCCACCCCAGCTTGGCCTTCAAGGCAGGTGTGGAATTGCTTTGGATCCAGCTATATTTACAAAAGTAACCCTAGAAGACCTGGTTAATTTGGGAAATAGGGCAGTATACTCCTGTTATGTCACAAAAAAGTGGTAAGAGCCACAAGCACGTGTTTACCTGGATAATATAAAGCCCTTCACAGACAGACTCTCCTCTGCTCCCTGGATGACAGCCTCAGTTAAGGTCCTTAGGCCATTTGCCAGTGTCCTTGTATTACGGATTATTTGGGGCACCATTCACAAGCTCATCTGTGCTCGTGTCCCAGAGAAGCTATCTGTGTTTCAGGTGAATCCTCCATGGTAATGGAAATAGAGCTCCAGAGCCAGGTGCTGGATGCCATGAACTATGTCCTTTACGACCAACTGAAATTTAAGGGGAATCGAATGGATTACTACAATGCCCTGAACTTATATATGCACCAGGTGAGTGGGGGCACAGTCCATCCCAGAGACTGTCTTCTGAGGGCTAGTCCTCTGGCTTTTTCATCTCTGCCTGCCCAACGAAATGCATTTCGTCCTCTACTATAAGGATCGTGCCAGGTGTTTTACCTGTTTTGTCTTGGCCTGTCCTTCAAGGTAGTCGTCTAAATAGAAATTGCTGTTTCTCTGACTCAGTTTGATGGGTTGTATCTTGTGAACACTGAACAGCGACACTACCCAGGGCTGTCTCTTCACTGGCCTGGGAAGGCTGAAGGAGACGTTGGCCCAGCTGCAGGGAGTTTGCACATTTTTGATACTTATTTTTTCTTTGCTTCCTGACTGGCCCTATTTTGGTATCTATTTTGTTGCTATATCTGCTACTTTCATTTTATTTTGTTATATTTTATACATTTTTTTTTGAATGGTCTTAAATTTCTTTTATACAGGAAGGAAGCCTAAATCAGGGATTTGCAAACTTTTTCTGTGAAGGGTCAGACAGCCAGTTATTTTCGCTTTGCAAGCCACGTGGCCAGTGTCCTAACTACTACATTGAGCCATTGCCATGCAGAGGAAGGCACAGGCAGTACAGAAACAGCATGGCTATGTCTCAGCAGAGCTTTCTACATGGTTAAAGTTAGAATTCCATGAATTTTCATGTCATGAGACAGTATTCCTTTGATTGTTTTTCCTAACACTGAAAACATAAAAATTTCAACCAGCCACAGTGGTGTAGCAGTAACAGTGCTCCACAATGCTGAAGCCACATGGGAATGTTCCCCAGTTCACACTCTGAGGCCTCCTCCTATGCCCTGGACACAGTGATCCTTGCTGACTGAGGCTAGGGATGGATTGCAGCTTGAAGATCCTGCTGGGTTACCTCTTTCTCTCCCCGTTTTTTCTCTCAGAAGAAATAAGTAAGTTTCTTAACAAAAAAACTTACAAATACTGTTCATGGACTGGATTTGGACCATGGGCTATATATAGTTTGCACACCTCTGATTTTTTTTTTTTTTTTAAACTTTATCAGAGGGTGTGTGTTCACTAGAGAGAGAGGAAGAGTGAGAAGGTACCCTGTGGGGGATGGTCACACCACAACCCCTTCTCCATCTTGTCCTCCTGTTGGGTTTTGGGCACATACCCACACTCACCCAGCATGTTTCTCAGGTCTCCGGGTCTAGGACTCAAGCCATGCAGTTGGCCTTGCAGGGTACACCTGCCTTAATCACCGTGCCGTGGGCTGGCTGTGACCTGTGGTCTTAATAAACAAAATATGTATTCGCTTAAGCCTTTAAAACTAGTATTGTAGTTGATGCTCAGTAGGTGTCTAATAAGAATGTATCTTGAAAGTGTGAGAATGGACAGTTCATCTCTGAACTGAAAGCATTTATTGTCTGCTAGGTTTTGATCCGCAGAACAGGAATTCCAATCAGCATGTCTCTGCTCTACTTGACCATAGCCCGGCAGTTGGGAGTCCCACTGGAACCTGTCAACTTCCCAAGTCACTTCTTACTAAGATGGTGCCAAGGTGCAGAAGGGTAAGTGAGCCATCTGTGACCCTTTGTAATTGGTGCTGAGGATTCGGGCCCCCTTGCCTGAATTAGAGGAAGCCTGATTTTCAGCATTAATTTAAGTGCAACCAAACACAGGTTAAAAACAGAGTGACGATGGAACGCTTATTTCTCGACTGTGTGCATGTCGATATTCTGGTTGTGTCATTGTACTGTTGTTACACAAGATGTTACCGGCATGGGAGACTGAGTGATGAGTACTCTGTGTCTTTCTCTGTTGCAACAACATGTGAATCTACAGTTTTCTCAAAGTAAAAGTTTAATATAAAAAAAGAAAAATAGGACTAGCACTTCAAGGTCTTTGTGGCTCTCACAGTCTCTTTATTCTGAAGCAGATTAAATCAAAGTGTTCTGAAAGAAACTTACTTTCGCTTTCCCATAAAATCTCTCCCACACAAATGTGCACGTGAGAGAAGGAGAAAGGGTGGGAGAATAGGGTAGTCAATTCCCCTTAAGGCAAAGTTGGTAACTGATGTCAATTTTAGAGACCTGGTTAATGAGTTCTGTTTTGTTCTCTTGGTGTCCTAGACGGCAAAAGCTCCTTTTCAATTATAGTCTAGCTTTTCTGAAAGAAATAGCTCTTCAAATAGGTAAAAATCCCTTCTCATTAAATCTGCCATTTAGAAGAAAAAGAAAAAAAAAGTTATTTACCTATATCCTGCCCTTTGAAGCTGCTTCCTGATGATTAACCATGACATGGTTTGATGAAGTAAACAGTACAAAAGTGAAAGTACCCGAGCTTTGAAGTCAGACTGGTTCAGACCTTGGCTTCCCCTGGACCTCAGTTTCTTCCTCTGCAGAATGGGGTTAATGTTCTTCATAAAGTAGCTTGGACAACTAAATAAGGTTACCTTGTGCTCTGCCTGCTGGAGTTTCTGGTGCTATAGAAAATCAAAAATGGTTTCTGTATGCCTGTGTCCTAGTTGAAAAAATAAAGCATTATGTAGTTGAAGCCTCCTGCATGTTCTTTCTTATCTCTGTCATTCTCCTCTCTTTTCCAGAGTTACCCAACAGTTAGTTTGAAAGTGTTTATATCCCTGTGAATCTTGTTTTGTTTTGTTTTTTTCCATTGCCAGAGAGCACGTGCACTGGAGAGAGAGAGAGACTGACTCAGAGGGGGAGAAAGTACCAGGATCCTCTATTTCTTCGTCCTGTTGAGGTTTTGAACATGCACTCACACACACCCAACATGTTTTCCAAGTTGCTGGTGCCAAGATTTGAACTGTCGTTGGCCATGTTGGATGTGGCTCCTTTGACCACTAGACTGTGGGTCTGGCCCTGCCTACAAATTTATATTGTTTGGTATACACTAATATTTTCTTAATTGTGCAGGCATCCCAAGTTTTCCAAATGTGTGTTTTTAAAGTTATCTGGGGCAGTTTAATTTCTGGATAGTGGGTAGTGGGAAAAATTATTTTTCTACCCATTTCCTCTCCCCAGATTACCCAACTAGTGTTCTCAAACATCTCTAAAATGTTCTTGGATGCGTCCATAATAATCCACTGAAGATTTCTGCATAGTAGCATTTAAAACTCTTGATTACCATGTTATTTATCCTAGTAACTTATTACAGGGTAGGGTTGTATGTGGTAAAAGTGTCATTTTTCCTTCCTAAGCTACAATCATCATTTATTGTAATACAAATGAAAAGTGAAATAATTTGTTAATATCCCTGGGCATGTGGCATAACAGCAAATCCTGAGAGCCATGAAGGACTCAGTCCTCCAGGAAGAGGCAGAGAGAGTGCACAGGATGAGAGAGTGCACGGGACGTTAACCAGCCACCGGGCTGGGCTGTCCTGTCCTCATTCTGGTCTTCTTGCTCTTTGCCTTTGGCCTATTCTCTGCCCCTGCACCAGGACCCAGTACTGTAGCTTTATAATTAACCCTAGTATCTGGTAGGATAAGACCCCCATCTGTTCTTCAGAATTGCCTTGGCTTTTCTTGGCTTTTGGTCTCCCATATAGATTTAGAATCAGTTTATCAGATTCCTTAAAATCCTATATGGATATTGGTTGACACTTAGAGATTATTTTGGATTGGATTTCTATATTAATGTGGAAAATGCTGCCAGTGTTTGTTGAGTCTTTTCTGTGTGTGAATGTGAGCCTCTCCATTTATTTAGCTCATCCTTAGTGGCCTTAAAATTTTTGTATATTCTTCTTCAAGCTCTTGGACGTGTCCTTAAATTTGTTCTTGGGCACTTTAAATTTTTGTTGGTATTGTAAATGCTCACTTTTTAAATTATATTCTGTACGTACTGACTGTATGCAGAGATGTGGTCAGTACTTAGTTATGAGTCTGATAATGCCTTTGCTATAAATTATTAGTGTTAATTTGTCAACTCTAGGCTTTTCTATGTACATAATTACACTGTGTGAATAGTGTCAGTTTTGTTCCTTTTTTTCTAGCCCTTACATATTGTTTCTTTTCTTATCTTACACTGCTGACTAGATTGCTTCATCTGAAGCTGAATAGAAGCAATGATAGCAAGTTCCTAGGCTTTGCATGTGATTTAAATGAAACGCTTTAAAATTTTACCGTCAAGGTGATATTTGAGAGCTATACCTTGTGTTGGGATTATCAAAACTATCTTCTGGGACCAGCAGATGTAGTAAAGGTTGCATTGCTGGACTTCCACATAGTTTACTGTGATTCAGGTCCTGGGCCTGGCAGCTTAAAACACACCAGGCACTTGTTTGTGCATGCCCGGAATCCCAGGAGGAGAATGGAGGAGAAGGGATTGCTACGTGAACATCCCCACAGGAGTGATTTCTCACTTTCTGTCTCTCTGGCAAGTGCAGATGCCCTATAGCAAAAATCTCTTTAAAAGAAAAAAAAAAAAAAAACTACCTTCTAAGTTCCTAGTTTGTTAACAATTTTATCAATAACTAGGTATTGGATTTTTTTTTTTTCTTTTCAAAATGCCTGTCTCTTCATACAGTTGCTATCGTTTCTCTTTTTTAGCCCATGTGTACAGAAATGGATATTTTAATGTTTAACTCTCCTTTCATTCTTGGGATACATCTGACTTAATCATGTATTTTAAAGGTGCATTGCTGCATTCGACTTGTTCATATGTTATCCAGAATTTTTGCATGAGAGCATTATGCTTCTAAATAATCTTGGCCAATAAATGTTTGTGTATTTTTTCTTAGGAGATTCTAATCTCATAAAAAGAGGTGAAGAATGGGTCAGCCTGTGACATGGTAGTTAAGGTGACTGAATTCCACGTGGCCAAACGAGAGGTTTGAGGCCTGGACCTGGTGGCTTAAGGAATACACAGGCATGTGTGCATACATGTCCAGAATCCCAAGAGAAGAGGTTGTAGTGTGGTCATTCCCCCGGGGGGTGATTTCTGTCTTTTCTCTTTCCAGTGAATGCACATGCCCTATACCAAAAAAGAGAGGGGTGAAGGGTTTATTTCTACAGCATTAATAGAAGTCTTATAGTCTTGCTAAAGATGGGCTATAAATGCAATTCAAAGACCTTTTCATGGCCGAATAGATAGTCTATTACCTGACTTGTCGTGGGTATAAGATCTATAAGAAGGAATCACCCCAAAGGAACAGCTACCCGTGACACAGAGAGCCACCTGAGTCCTTCCATGAGCCTCGGTTGCACTTGGCACCACAGTGAGGGCCTATGTCATGTGTCCGCTGCTCGCTCAGCTCAGCATGGCAGCTCCGTGGGGGCAAGCCTGGTGCAGTAGGGCAGTTCTGTGGGAGGAACCGTGCCCAAAGGCAGCAGCTCTCTCATCCAGCTCAGGGTTCCCAGCCTGAGGCCCTAATGGACTCAGTAGGTGGCTGAGCCCCTGAGCGTTCCTTCCGGGGTGAGGAGTCATAACTTCCATCAGCTCCTCAAGAGCCTGAGAGCCATAGTCACTGAACTGCTGCTAATCTAGGAAAATAATAGACTGCTTTAAACATTTGTCAGCCAAACTCAAATGGTTATGCCTGGCAGTGAGTTTGAAGATTCATCTTCCCTAAAAAGATCTATTAGATGGTATACATCAGTGCTATTTCTCATCTTTTTTAATTTTTTTCCCCTAATTTGTTTTAGTGCCTGTGCGTTTACAGGAAAGAGACAGACAGAGTGGGAAAGTGAGAAAGCATCCCCTGGAGAAATGACCACATCACAATACCTTCTCCATTCTCCTCTCAGGATTGTGGGTATGCATGCACATGCGCCTGGCATGTTTCTCAAACCACTAAGTCCAAGACTGAAACCATGCACTTGGCTATGTGGGGGTCCAGCCACCTTGATCACCACACTGCCAGCTGACCCCCCCCCCTTTTTTTCAGTTGTGCCAGAGAGCACATGTGCTCACGGGAGAGGGGGGGATGCACACACCCCCGCCATGGGGAGTAGTTGTGCTGCAATCCTTTCTCCATTTCTCCATACTGTTGGGATTTATAGGGCACACACACACACACACACGGCATCTGGCATGGTTTTTTATACTGCTAGGGCCAAGAGTCAAACTATGCAGTCAGCCTTGTGGGATCTTATTTCCTTAACCACTAAGCCATGAAGCTAGCCCTGTGCTCACTCATGCTCTCTTTTTCTGTCTTTTTTTTTTTTTTTTTTAAAGAGAGATATTTGCTATTGGGCACGTGCACTCACCAGAGAGACAGAAGACGACGAGAAATCACCCCCTGGGGGGTGGTCATGTCTCAGTTCCTTTTCCTTCATTCTCCTCTTGGGATTTTGGGCACACATGCACACGTGCCTGGAGTGAGTTTTAAGCTGCCCAATCCAGGGCTCAAACCATGGTCAACTACATGGGAGTCCAGCAACACAACCATTACACCATTTGCTGGTCCCCCCAGTGCTCTTTTCAAAGGTCCATATTGCTGTAGTCTTAACAGAGCAGAGTTCACATGGAAGGTCAGGTTTTAAACATTGGAAAAAGCCTTGATATTAGAAGTAAAAATGTTACTGCTTTGCTATATTCCACTTTCAGTCAAGCTGCTTGTGGGGATTTAAAAGATTGAACCGTTCAACTCCCATCTGTTGTCTGGTGTTTGGTTCTTCTGATAGGACAACCCTGGACATCTTTGACTACATCTACATAGATGCTTTTGGGAAAGGCAAGCAGCTGACAGTGAAAGAATGTGAATACCTGATTGGCCAGCATGTGACAGCAGCACTGTATGGAGTGGTCAATGTGAAGAAGGTGTTGCAGCGAATGGTGGGGAACCTGCTGAGCCTGGGGAAACGGTAAGGTTTTCTTACACTTCTGCAGAATGCGAATCTTTAGCAGCTTGAAACGTCTTACTTAATTATTTCACTGTGCTCGCTTGTGATAGAGCAGTGCAGTGGATGTTGTGTCTGCAGCTGTCTGTCTGCATGTCATGGAAAATAACTGGATCCCATGATGTAATACCATATAGAATGGATGTGTGCTAAGTGACTGTTCTCCTAGACCTTTGCAGCATACATGGCCAAGTTTTCTCTGTGGATACTAAAAATGTTCTTCAGTAACAAGGGTATCTTAGACTGGCAAAAATTATTTTTGAGGGGCAGGGTGTTCTCCTGTCCAAGTGCACTGCCATCACTTGCTTTGTTTTGTGTCAAAGGATGAATGTACTCTCCAGAGAGACACACAGAAACAAAGAAAGTGAGGAATCACCCTCCCACAAACACACCCCCACATGCACACCCAGGAGGAATGGCCACACTGCAGTCCCTCTCCATTCTCCTCTTGGGATTCTAGGCATGCATGCACACACACCTAGCGTGTTTTTCAAGCCACTAGGTCCGGGACTTAAACTTTAGCATGGCCATGTGGGGTTCACACTACCTGCTGGCCACAGTGCTTTGCTCTCTTTTAATTTGTACTTCTCTGTTATTTAGATAAGAAAAGTATGAAACGGTTACTTCTGAGTCTAAGGAAATTTGTCCCACAGGTAAAATAGAAAGCTGTAGGTTATTGTTGTAGTAAGTTTTCTACCTAAAGGTAAAAATTTTTTTTAATAGACTTTATTTTTTAGAACTATTTGAGGTTGGCTGCAAAATTGAGCAGAAAGTACAGAGCGTTCCAATTAGCCTTTGCCCCCATACATGCGTAGCCTCCCCTGTGATCAACATCATACACTTAGAGAGGGACATTTGCTGGGTCAATGACCCCACATCGGTAGATCATTATCACTCAAAGTCCGTAATTCACTTTAGGGTTCACTCTTGGTGTTGTGCACCGTGGGTTTTGGCAAATGTACAAGTATGTGTGTCTACCATTACGGTACACGGAGTACTTTCATTGCCTCCCCAAATCCTCTGCTTGTCCAGAGTTCATCGTTTTGTTGTTTTTTATTTTTAGTTTGCCAGAGGGCATATGTGGTCACTGGAGATAGAGGAGGAGAAATGAGAAAGCACCCCCAGAGAAGATGGTACCACTACAAACCCTTCTCCATTTCTCCCTCCTTTCAGGATTTTGGGCATACATTCACATGTACCTCCTGTGTTTTTCAAGCTCTCAGGGCTCAAACCACACAGTCAGCCAGAGATATGGATCCAGCCTCCTTAACTTCTGCACATGGGTTGACCCTCATACTTCATTTTATGCACATTGTACTGAAATGGCTGTTTAATAAAAATGCTTAGTTTTTGTTTATCACCAAAAGTGGGGTAGATTTACATTTATTGTGGGGTTTTGGCATTGTAACTCTTTGCCAAAAAAAGAATTATAGAATCAGAAAATGGTTGGAATTTGTGTGGATTATTTTTAAACCTAGGCCTTGTAAAGGAGGCTCTTAGCTAAAAAGAAAAGAGGATAAGACGAAGATCCTTCTCTCTCTGCTAGGGAAGGCATTGACCAGTCATACCAGCTGCTGAGAGACTCGCTGGATCTGTATCTGGCCATGTACCCGGACCAGGTGCAGCTGCTCCTCCTCCAGGCCCGGCTTTACTTCCACCTGGGCATCTGGCCTGAGAAGGTAATTATTTTACTTTGATGCTTTGCGCTTGCTTTAGAGAGGAAAGTCCTATTTGAAAGGCGGCTGTTACGTGTTTGTCCCTGTATTCACATGGGGAATAAGCACAAGTTTACCCAAAGTCTCCCCATCTTAACTCACCAAGTAAAGTTTTCCTGTCTCTTTATTCTAAAGAAAATTGCTTCTACTGCCAAGAATCGCCCATTTTCTTGCAGTTAGCCCTTCAAGCCCCGAACCACAAAGCCTATGCCCCTGCCACTCACCCACTGCTGCCCTTGGATCTGTTTTCCCAAGTCACCTTCACTCAGCTAGGGAAGTCAGACTAGATGTTCAACGTCCTGCTATGCTGTTTTCCACGAAAGTTTCCGTAGGTAAATATCCCTGTTTGACTTAAGGAACACTGGATCATACATAGATGTTCAAGTTCAGGCTCTAACTAGTGAAGACTGGTTATGTCTTTGAAAACCATTGAATTTTCATACTGATGCACTTGAGTTTTCTCATTTTATAATGGCTGCTTTCTGGCCAGCAGCAGGCACTTTCAGTCAGAGGCCAATGTTGGACCAGAACTGCCCCCACGACACACAGACCCAGCAGTGCCTCCTGGTCTGCGGCACACACAGGCCCAGTCGGGTCTCAGGGGCAAGAGCCAGCTGTGCATTGTGCCCTTGCTTCTTGCTCAGGGGCTGTGTCTGGTTCGTTGGGATAATTCGGTGAGAGAATTTAGTGCTGAGCTCTCACAGGGACATAACAAACCCGACTCCCCATGTTGTTAGAAAGGGGAGCAATTTTTCTTGAGCAAGTAAATTTTCTAAATGTCTTCCATTACTTAGGTTAAAATTACATCATTCACAGTTTCAAAGCTCTGAAATAACTCTAAGAAAGGATGCTGTGGGGAAATCCCTCGACTCCTGTCTTAAGAAATGGTGTCACCTGTAGCCCAGAGCACAGATGTCCTCATAGAGTATCCGTGTGTGTGATAGAGTTGTTGTTTCTAGAAACTCTAGAAGTTACCACTCCCTTTTACCTTTTCACTCCGTTTGTGATACCAAGGCATACACACCTAGTTCTAGTCACTTTCATTTTAGATTTGTTAAGGAATTTCATGATGATTTGTGAAATGCAGGTTCTTGAAATGTAAATTCTGTAGTTCCTTTATGGGCCAGCCTGAGAAGTTGGGGGGAAATCTGGGAAGCTTTACCATCCTTACCTTCTATGACTGATTCGTGTCAGTGCTTACATTTCACACTGCCTACTACAGAGTCCCCTCAGTGTTGTCTTTAGAATCATTACGTTTGCCTTCCTACTAAGGAAACAGTGCTAAATGAAGTTCCAGAAGAGTTTCCATGTGATGTTTGGTGGGGTTGAGCCCTAGAGCCCTAGCTCTCCATTCCAGAGATCAAAAAAGAAAAGTGGCTTGTTCCCAGTGTATTTTTGACTCCTTCCCCTCAAGAAACCATAATCTGGGACCATCAGTTAGTGTAATGGTTACATAGCTGGACTCACATGTAGCCAACCGTGGTTCAAGTTCCGGACCTGCTGGCTTAAACTCATGCCAAGCGTGTGTGCGTGCATGCCCAAGATCCCGAGAAGAGAATGGAGGAGAAGGGATTGCAGCGTGGCCATTCCCCCTGAGGGGGTAATTTCTCACTTTCTGTCTCTCTGTCTCTCTCTGTCTTTCTGGCGAGCACACACGCTCTATAGCAAAATAAATAAATAAATAAATAAATAAATTCTCAAAAAAAAAAAAGAAAAGAAACCATAATCTAACCAAGACAGCAAAGAAAAACTGGGACTCCCAGGGTGGACAATTCAGAGGATGCCAAAGTAACGAGAAAAGATTCCTCTCCAGAGGAAGGCATTGAGGTTTATCAAGACGTAACCCTACTGTAAGTGAGAAGCGTCTGTATGTATGCACATGAATGTGTGCAAACGTATGAGTGTGTATTATATGCACGTGTATATAAAATTGTGGGGTGGGGTGGGGGAATCAGTGTAGCCAACCGTGGTTCAAGTTCCGGACCTGCTGGCTTAAACTCATGCCAAGCGTGTGTGCGTGCATGCCCAAGATCCCGAGAAGAGAATGGAGGAGAAGGGATTGCAGCGTGGCCATTCCCCCTGAGGGGGTAATTTCTCACTTTCTGTCTCTCTGTCTCTCTCTGTCTTTCTGGCGAGCACACACGCTCTATAGCAAAATAAATAAATAAATAAATAAATAAATTCTCAAAAAAAAAAAAGAAAAGAAACCATAATCTAACCAAGACAGCAAAGAAAAACTGGGACTCCCAGGGTGGACAATTCAGAGGATGCCAAAGTAACGAGAAAAGATTCCTCTCCAGAGGAAGGCATTGAGGTTTATCAAGACGTAACCCTACTGTAAGTGAGAAGCGTCTGTATGTATGCACATGAATGTGTGCAAACGTATGAGTGTGTATTATATGCACGTGTATATAAAATTGTGGGGTGGGGTGGGGGAATCAGTGTGTGAAAGACTTTGATCTTATTAGTGAAAGGGAAACATGGTGAGAGTAAGGCCTGAAACGTTAAGTAACTTGCTGAGGTCTCCTGCACACATGCCCATGCCCACCCTTAGGCTTCTCCTGCTACCGGGCTGAGGCCAGATGTTCCTGAGGAAGCCAATAGATAGGCACTTTCTACCTCTGAAGCCAGCCCTATATCCTTATTTCAATCCATAGGTTTTTTTTTCTTTGTGTTTCAGCGGAAACTTTTCCCCTTTAGCTCTCCAAAGCAACCCGCACTTCTTTGGGGAGGAAAAGAAGGCAGGGCAGCACCCCGTGGTGCCCTGAGGATCCCATGGCCACCACCCCCTCTTCCTACCCTGCACAGCCATGCATGTGTCCTCCCACTCACAGCCCAGAACACAGGGATCCATTCCCACCCCTTTCCCACGGCCCTGAACTGGCCAAGAAAACAAACCAGTGACCCCTTTCTGCTCACTGTTAGCTTGTTGCTAAATCAAGGAGAAACTCTTTATCTTTCTTGATCACTCGGGCCACTTCCCACTCAGGATACTCTGTTCCCCCTGCTCTGTGGTCTCTGGTTCGCAGGCTCTGGCTTGTTCTTGTTCTGTCTCTTGCGGAGCCACTCCAGGCTGAGGGTGCTTTCTGGGCTTCTTTGACTCCACATGGCTCCACCTTTTCCCTTGCTCCAGTTACCACCTGTGCACTGGCAGCTCCCAAGTCATTGGTCTCCTGCTGGACCCCGGGCTCTGGACCAGCACATCCAGATGTCTGCTGCCCACCATGTGTGGCTCTGGTGAAAGTCGGCCCTTCTCCAACCTAGAGTAGTGCGCCAGCCCTCTGAGACCTTTCAAACCCTTTTTTGTTTGTTTTAATTGTGCCAAAGGGCACATTTGCTCACGAGGGGCCGAGGGGGGGGACAAAGCACCCCCAAGTGGGGCGTGGTTGTGCCACAGTCCCTTCTCTTCCATTTCTCCATCCTTTCTGGAACTTGGGTACATCTGCACATACTCTGGTGTGTTTTTCAACCCGCTAGGGTTGGGATTCAAACCCCATGGTTGGCCAAGTGGAATCTAGCTCCCTTCACCACCGGGCTACAGGCCTGACCCTGAACTCAGTTTATATGAATCAGTCAGAGCAATCTTAATCCAGTGTCACTTACCTCCTTTTATTGCTTAAACTCCTTGAGTGACCCCATTACCTTAAAGGTCAGCATGGCCTTTAGTGTGGCTCACAGCTTCTCTGAGGTCCAGTCCTGCCTCTTGCAGCTGCTCTTTGATACTGCACCGGCCTCTTCCTCTGCTGATACTGTCCTTCCTCAGTCCCGGCATCTGCTGCCTCCCCGCCCAGCCATCTCTTCAGACTCCTCAACTTTGTCGCCAGTTCACTGCTGTTGAACTGGCAGCTTGAACTTCTGCCTCCCTGACACCTCTCCCCATCCTGCACTTGAGTTTGGTTGTGCGTGCCCATCACAGACGTCGAGTCTCTGGCAGCCGCTGTTTGGTCTTCCCCGCCAATTCCATCTCTTACCTTACTGTAGCCCGTCCCCAAACCCTCTGCACAATTCCCCACACCCAGTATGTGCTCAGACGTAGTTTTTTTCCATGAGTGACTAAGAAATGATGGAACTTAGTTGGATACGAACAAAGGAGCAAACTTGAAGAGGATGCTCAGATTTTCCAGCAGTGGGGCAGTTCATACCACTCTCGGGTATTTGGAGAACAGGCCTGCCTAGGACTAGAAAAGAGCATTCATTTTGAGTCTGTTCTGACCTGGAGCCATCATACGCCAGGTGCCCTGTGGCCGTTGGCATCGGCATCTGTTAGCTGAAGTCCAGAAAGCAGAAGACCCCACAGATGAGTGGATATCAAGAAAAGAGAGCCAAGAACTTCAGAAAGAGAGAGGGAGAGCACCTCGGCAGAAGTCCCATGGGTCTGCCACCTCTGGCCTGTGGCCTCAGCTGCCTGACTTTGTGAATGCATCGTGTGTGTGACTTCCTGTCTCTGGCTGCCTTCAAGTTGCAGTGGCAGAGTTGAATAGTGAGTGAGACACTGTGCATACCACAAGGCTGGAGCTGTTTCCTCTCCCTCCCTTTCCAGAAAAGGTTTGCCGACCCCTTGGCTAGAGGAAAAGGTCCGGCACGTGGAAGTCCATCGTGGGTGATAGACCCTGTTTCCAAGCTCTCTACCCAGATTCTCAGCCTAGAGCATTTGCCTGGGGACAGCATGGTGCCTGCTCTCAGCACTGCCCCTTGCAAACACTCCAGGTCTCATGTCCCAGTGTGTTCTTTGTTTCTACCCTCTTCCTTCACCCTCAGTCGCGCATCCAGGGACAGAGAGATAATCACTCTTGAACCTCTTCTTTTTTTTTTTTTTTTTTTTTTTTAAGAATTCTTTTATTTTATTCATTGTCATTTTTTTTTTTATTATTTACTTATTTTTGAAGTTCACCAGAGAGAGAAAGAGAGTGAGAAGAGTGAAAAAGCAAGCTGCCAGGTCTGGGACTTGAACCATGGTCAACCATGTGGGAGTCTAGCCACCTCACCCATCACACCACATGCTGACCTTCATCCTTGAACCTTATCTGCTAGTCTGAATTCAAGACCAGTTTGTGCTCTGAAGAGTCTAAGTAGCCATTTACTTCCTGGTAGGGAGGAAGGGGAGAAGGTTGTGAGTGGAGGTGATGCTGGAGGTGCAGGACAGTCGCTCTTTGGAACTGCACAGGGCACTTAGGGCGAGCGTTCTGCAAACACCGGAAATAAGAGCTCGTTGTTCAGTGGAAAGATTCTAGCTAGGAGGGTGATGCTGCTAGTGTCCCCAGATGAACACCACCCTACTGGAGGTGGGAAATAGGTGGTGGTTGGCTCAGTTGATACCTTTTAAAACTGGGTTTGGGGTACTTGGAGTTAGACTATTCTGTCCCTTTGTCTGTGAGGTTCTTATGTTCCTGTTCTCAGCCTGGTGTGATGGTGATTAAGACCAAGGGTGGTTGGTCGACTTCAGGCCATAGTCTCATTTTGCTTCTCCATAACCCTGTGATCTCGGACAAGTTACTTAGCTCCTCTAAGCCTGAGTCTTTTCTGGAAAATGGCAGTGACTAGGGTCGTTTTTTGTTTTTGTTTTTGTTTTTCTCTTAAGCCTTGGAGAACAGGCCTGCCTAGGGCTAGAAAAGAGCATTCATTTTGAGTCTGTTCTGACCTGGAGCCATCAAATGCAGGTGCCCTGTGGCCATTGGTAGGTTGAAGGTCAGTACTGATTTATGATTGAGTGAAATAAAAAAAAAAGAGAGAGAGAGACAAACCTGGCACAGAAATCAGTGAAAAATAAGTGTTCAGTCAGTAGTGGAGATCCTGCAGATATCCCTGTGGAAGATAAGATTGGGTTTTTGAATCATATCTTACGTTGTGTAAGACTAGTTTTCATGACACTTTCACAGGCTCAAAATGTGTCAAGAAGGAGTTAAGGCAATGATGAATCATTATTCATTAAGCAAAGAAACAAATTAGAAGGTAAAAACAGCTAGCTTGACAGATCTGGGTCTGGAATCCAGGTTGCTTTGGCCACTGAGTAGGCTCTAACTGAGGACTGGGAAGCTGAGAGGAGAGACTTGTCAGAGACCTCTGCTGTGTGCTGTGGCCGTCGTGGGTGCTATGTCATAACGCACGTATGCTGCTGCAAACGTGGAGTCTTCACTTCTCACAGAGACACTGTGCACCGTAGGAAGAGTATTAACACAGAGTCAGGTACTGGGCTGTACCAGCCACCAGATTGTGTTCCCCATAGGTGTGCTTTCTCCCACTGCCCTCAAGCTCATTGGCATGACCAGTGGGATTCCAGGGCCCTGGCACACATGGCTTCCCCTGCAAGGAAAACACCTTAAACTGAGCAAGCTCATCCCTTCAGTGGCCTCTTCTGACCCCTTCCATCCTATCTGGTCCTGAGTTACTTTCTCCTTCCCAGCTTCTGAGTGGCAAATTTAAATAGGTTCCTTTCAGGGCCAGCAGGTGGTGTGGCGGTTAAGGCAGTGAACTCCCACATGACTGATTGTGGTTCGAATCCCAGACCCAGTGGCTTGAAAATCACACCCAGTGTGTGTGCCAAAATCTGAAGAGGAGACTGGAGGAGGGGACTAGCAGTTGGCGTAATGGCTGTGTCGCTGGACTCCCACATAGTCGACCGCGGTTCGAGTCCCGGACCCGGTGACTTAAACTCACGCTGGGCGCGTGTGCGTGTGTGCCCAAGATCCCAAGAGGAGAATGGAGGAGAAGGGATTGCGGTGTGGCCATCCCCCCTGGGGGGTGATTTCCTGCTTTCTGTCTCTCTGGCGAGCGCACGCGCCTTATAGCGAAAACCTCTCCAAAAAAGAAAAAAGAGGAGAATGGAGGAGAAGGGATTGCAGTGTGGCCATCCCCCTGGTGGGTGATTTCTCACTTTCCCTCTCCAGTGAGCACACACACCCTATGGCAAAACCTTTAAAGAAGAAAAGTTTCCTTTCTGTGTATAAGAAAATTGGGGTTTCCACACTGATTGGGGACATGAGGCCCTTTTGGAGTCTACCTACTCCAAGTGTGCCTGTGGACAACAAACCCTTCTCCTATAGCAGTTTCCGAGTGGCCCCTTAATGTCCACACTGGTTGAACGGGGGCATCCTGGGCCATCCTGGTATGGTCAGCCGCTGCTTGCCATCCTTTGTCGGGTTAGGTAGGTAGGCCTAAATCTCAAGCTGCAAAAGAGAAAAGGCCTAGCTGAAAATATTATCTCCTAGTCTTTCTGTCTTGTCTTGAAGGTGCTTGACATCCTCCAGCACATCCAAACCCTAGACCCCGGGCAGCACGGGGCGGTGGGCTACCTGGTGCAGCACACTTTAGAGCACATTGAGCGCAAGAAGGAGGAGGTAGGCGTGGAGGTTAAGCTCCGTTCCGACGAGAAGCACAGAGATGTCTGCTACTCCATTGGGCTCATTATGAAGCACAAGAGGTAAGTGCGGTAGGTTCTCCTGTCCTACGACGTGGCGTGTGTTCAGATGGGGCCACGGAGGAGCCGGCAGTGAACACCCAGAGGAGGACCTGACTCTGAAGCAACAACTGGGTGTCTTTGACCACTCCTTTACTGAGCGCTCACCACAGGAGACAGAGAAAACTGAACCATATCTTTAACCTTTTTCCTTTTTTAAGCAAAGACTCACTTTGCTGAGAGATCTTTGAATACTTTAGATGACCTTTAGAGGTCTGACCCTTTTCCGTGTTGGGAAGATGGAAGCAACCCTGTATACAAAGAGGGTTTTTCCTCATTTCTTCACTATTCTTATTCTTCTTTACTTTTCATCTCCATGAACCTGTATTGTAGGTAGGGATTTTTCGAGTGGTAAGGTGTGCACACAGTCTGTTCACTGGGCAGAAATAAGATGTGCATTCTGTCTATTCACTGGGCAGGAGGAGGGCGTGCATGCGGTCTGTTCCCTGGGCAGGAGGAGGGTGTGCGCGCGGTCTGCTCACTAGACGGAAAGAGGGTATGCACAGAGTCTGTTCATTGGGCAGAAGGAGGCTTTATCCAAAGTGGTAGTGCAGTTTGCAGTTTCCATCCCACCAGCAGGCTAGGAGATGAGAGTTCCCCTTCTCAGCAGGTGTCACTGCCAGGCCTTTACAGTTGTACTTATGTGGTAAATGCAGTTGGTCTTCCTATGTGGGTTTTTTGGGTTTTTTTTTTTAAAGATTTGCTGCATATCGAGTCAAAGGTTTTTTTTACTGATCTCTCTCTTTTTTTAAAGACTTTTTTGGCTTAGGATGCATGCACTTGGCAGAGAGAGAGAGATAGACAGGCAGGAACAGTGAGAGAGAAAGTGAGCAATCATTCCACAGGGGGGATGGCCACACCACAATTCCTTCTCTATTCTTCTCCTGAGATCTTGGGCCACACACATGTACTCGGTGTGATTTTCAAGCCACCAGGCCCAGGACTCAAACTGCAGTCGGCCCTGTGGGAGTCCAGTGATGTAAACACTACACCATCTGCTGGCCCCAATCTCTCTTTTTTAAAAAATTGCTATAGGGCACTTGTGCTCGCAAGAGAGAGAGAAAAAGCACTCTCTCCTTGCCTCCCCCCACCTCTACCCCTACATTGTATTGCCTTCGTCATTCTTCTCTCAGCATTTTGGACATGCACGCACTTGTGGCCAGCGTGTTTCTCAAGCTGCCAGGTCCAAGATTTGAACTGCACAGTCAGCCACGTGGGATCCAGCCACCTTAACCACCACACCTCCAACTGTCCCCCGTTTTGGTTTTAATTGACATTTCTCTGATTACCAAACAGGTTGAGGTTCTTTTTCATGTGTCTGCTACCTCTCCAAGTTTGCTTCTAGGAAGTGCTCTTTGAGTATTTTGCTTATTTTTCTATTGGGTTATTAGGCTTCCTTATTGATTGGTAATTGTTCATCTGTGTATTAGTCTTTTTTTCCAAGTTTTTGGCTGGTATTTTTTTATCTTTTATTTCATTTTTAAAGAGTTTATTATGGGGCACTGGCAGGTAGCATGGTGGTTCTCACGGCTGACCAGAGTTCAAGTCCTGGACTGGTTGGCTTGCTTTCTTACTTTCTTCTCTCTCTCTCTCACTCTAGCCAAATTAAAAAATAATAATAAATAAATGCAATTAAATAACTTTTTAAAAGTTTATTACAGAAATTTTCAAGCATACCTAAGAGAGAGATGAGTGTAATGAACTAGGTGATGTTCCCATCATCTAGCTTCTAATGTTAGGTCTGTCTGCATTGTTTTATCCCCACCTGCCCCTTCCTCCTCCCTGGGTTAACTGAAGCACATCTCACAGGTCATTCGTAGCTATTTCAGCAAGTATCTCTAAAAAGTAAAGGCCTGTGTACTCTCACTTGCTCTCTAACACATTTGCTATCTATTATCATATCTAAAAAATAAACGATTTCTTCATCAAATATACCTAGCCAAAAGTTCATGTTTTCCAACTTGCCATATTTTTTTAAGAATTATTTTATTTAACTTTATTTATTTACTTATTTTAATTTGACCAGAGAGGGACAGAGCGAGAGAAAGTGAGAAAGCAAGCCGCCAGGTCTAGGACTCGAACTACAATCGGCCATGTGAGAGTCTAGCGCCCTTAACCACCATGCCATCTGCCAACCCAGAGACTGGTTAATTTTTAAGAGTGAATTTCCTTACTCTTCCAGATCTGGGACTTGAACCATGGTCAGCCATGTGGGAGTCCAGCACGTTAAAAAGTACACCACCTGCCGGCCCCTTATATTTATTAGTATTATTTTTAATTTGATCAGGGTAGGGGAATGCAAGAGCAAGCTGCCAAGTCCAGACTTGAACTGCAGTTCACCATGTGGGAGTCCAGAGCCCCAATCATCATGTCACCTGGCAGCCCCTAGTCTCTTAGTTTTAATGCTGTCAAATAGGTTAATCTTTATGGATTCTATTTTTAGTGCCTTGTTTAAGAAATCTTTCCCTTCTCAAGTCACAAAGGTACTTTATTTTATTTTAAAAGTTCTGCATTTTAGCAGGGAGGGGAAAAAAATTTCTGCATTTTAGGTACACCAGGTAGCATGGTGGTTAAAATGGCTGGATCCCACATGGCCTACTGTGCAGTTCAAATCCCAGTGGGACCCAGTGGCTTCAAAAACATGCAGGGCACATATGTATGCATGCCAAATATCCCAAGAGGAGAATAGAAAAGGGATTGTGGTGTGGCATTTCCCCCGGGGGTGGGGGGGGGTTGGTGATTTCTCACTTTTCCTCCCTCTCTCTTTCTCTGCCTCTCTCCAGTGAGTGCATGCACCCTTTAGGGCAAAAAAAGAGAAAAGTTTCGTGTTATGCATCTAGGTCTTTGTTTTACTAAAAATTTATTTTGGTGTGTCCTGATGCCTTTTTCTGTTTGGGTAGTCAACTGTCTCGTGACTCTGTTGAAAGCTTATTCTTTTCCAAATGAAGTGCCATGTGTATAATAAGAGGGGTTTGTAGGGTGTAGGGGTGTCCTGGCAAATGATCCAGCGTTAAGTAAGAACAGGTCAACCAGTAAGGACGTGAGCTTAGAGAAACCACTGTGGGACCATCTCCCAGTTGCTGTGTCATAGCCCCAGGGAATCAACGCACTGTCTTCTCGTGTCCCCTAGGTACGGCTATAACTGTGTGATCTACGGCTGGGACCCCACCTGCATGATGGGGCACGAGTGGATCCGGAACATGAACGTGCACAGCTTGCCTCATGGCCACCATCAGCCTTTCTACAATGTGCTGGTGGAGGATGGTTCTTGTAGATACGCAGCCCAAGGTAAGTGCCTGGCTCTCCTTGCACATCTTGAGCTCGCATGTGAGCACGCAGAGTCTGTGGGTGCCAGTTGTCAGTGTACTCGAGATGGGAGTTGTCGCCTGGGTGGAGTCAGCAGGGCTGCTACTCCATTAGATGTGGGTGGGTGTCCACTGAGCAACCACATCAAAAGTTAAACACCACACACTCCCCTGCCCTGAGGCCGCTTCCACAGCCAGACCCCTGTTCTAGTGCTACTGCTGGTTGAGATCTGGCTGGTCACTCTTGTGTCCTCAGACAAGGAGTGCTAGCCCATACCATGCTGCCCGGACATTTGTAGAGACACCCTGGATCCTTCTGGCCTCTTGTGACTGACCACCCTCTGTGCTTTCTCAGAGCCACCCTCGTGTGGCCACTTGTGGGAACTGCAGGCCATGTTGCTGATTCTGAAAGCGTGTGAGAGAAGCAATAGGTGTTTGCTAGCGTTTGGTAGGTGTTTGGGGCCCTCCCAGCCCTGACAGGTGCAAATCTGAGGTGAGGACAGATGGAGCCTATGGAAACAAGTTAGAGACAAAAATACCTTCAGTGTAAGTCTCCTTTTCATTGTCCCTTTTGAAATTGACTTTCGGGACCAGCAGTTAGCATAATGGCTATGTCGCTGGACTCCCACGTAGTCGACCGCAGTTTGCATCCCGGACCCGGTGGCTTAAACTCATGCCGGGTGCGTGTGTGTGCATGCCCAAGATCCCGAGAGGAGAATGGAGGAGAAGGGATTGCGGCGTGGCCATCCCCTCTGGGGGGTGATTTCTCGCTTTCCATCTCTCTGTCTGTCTGGTTAGCGCACGCACCCTATAGCAAAAACCTCTCCAAAAAAAAAAAAAGAAATTGACTTTCATTTAATGGTATGAATTTATTCTATGCCTGATAGAATAAAATCAAAGCATTCACATTGATTTTATGAATCAAGTGAAGTGAGTTGAGGGCTGGCTCTATGGCATCGTGTTAGGACAGTGGGATCCCACGTAGCTGACCATGTGGTTCAAGTCTTGGACCTGATGGCTTAAGAAACACATTGGCTGTATATGCCCAAGATCCCAGAATCCCAAAGATGGAGGAGAAGGTATTGCAGCATTACCATTCTCCTTGGGAAGCACTTTCTTTTTTTGTTTCTCTGGTGAGCACACATGCCCTCTTAATACCCTCAAAATAAATAAATAAAAATAAGCACAAATGCTAGTGCAGTGCCACTCTACCAGGCGTTCTGCTGTATACTCACTCCATCTGAGGACCGCTGCCATCATCACTGTGTTGGTTTGTGTGTTTTTAGTATTTGCTCTGTAGTGTGTGCACTTATGGGAGGGAGACAGAAAAACAGGGAAAATGAGAAATCCCCTTCCATGGGGAAGTGGCCACACCACAGTCCCTTTGCCTCTATTCTCCTTGGGATTTGGGGCATATATACATATGCACTCAGCATGTTTTACAAGCCACTGGGTCTAGGACTCAAACTGCTGTCATCCGTGTGGGAACCAGCTGCCTTAACCACCACGCCACCGGCTGGCCCTCACCAGCACAATTTTATGAAGAGACTCAAGCACAGGGAGATTGCTTTTTTCTTTTTCTTTTTTTTTTAGGTTTTTGCAATAGGTCGTGTGCATTGATGGAGAGATACAGAGAGGAAAAGTGAGGAAACACCCCCCAGAGAGTATGGTCATGCTGTAATCCCTGCTCCTCTTGGAATTTTGAATGTGCATGCACACATACCTGGCATGAAGAAGCTACCAGGTTTGGGACTCAAACCACTGTCAGCCATGTGGGAGTTCAGCACCTTAACTGCTACACCACCTGCTGGCCCTGGCCACTTTTTTTTTATTTTGGAGAGGGTTTTGCTATAGGGTGTGTGCACTTGCCAAAAAGACAGAGAGAGACAGAAAGCAAGAAATCACCTCTCAGGGGGGGATGGCCATGCTGCAATCCCTTTTCCTCCATTCTCCTCTCAAGATCTTGGGCACACACGCACGCACACACACCCGGCATGAGTTTAAGCCACTGGGTCCAGGACCCGAACTGCAGTCGACTACATGGGAGTCCACTAACATAGCCATTACACCAACTGCTGGTCCCCTAGCCACTTAATTTTAAGTTACTGAGTATGAATTGGGGGCCAGGCAGCCCAGCAGAGAGCCTTCTGCTGCCCATCATGCTCCACTTCTTCCTGTCTGCCATAAATACTAGGTTTGACCTAACTAAACCCAGTATGCTCTGATAAATCCAGTAATAGAATCATCTGAAGACACTGGAAAGAGTTTTTATATTAATTGTTGTTCACTCACCAGAAACTGTGAGGCCCTTCCATAACAACATAGCTAGTGACTGTCTTTATTGAGACTGCAGGCTGCTTAACCGCTGTGGAGGTAGAGGAGGTACTTGGAGGTAGAGGAGGTCATGCACCTGGACTCTCTGTGTCAGATGAGGCTCTGTGGTGACATTCTTCTCTTTCGAAGCTGTGTCAAATAGGAAGTCCTGCTAAGACTTTCTAAAACTCAAGAACTAATTTGGAAATTAATAATTTGCTCTACCGTTATACAACCACTCATTGCCTGGTAAGCATTTCGTACCATCCACCATCTAGAGTATCATGGGAATAAAGGAGAATTGGCCATATAGGCCAGTGTTCATGGCTTCACCACATACACGCACTGTCTCCCGGGTAGGACTTGTGTTAAGACTTGCACAATTTGATACTCCAGTTTCTAGAAACATTTATTTTGGGTTTGTTTTTGGTTTTTTTGTTTTGCTTTTAAAGAATTTTCTTTTTAGTTTTATTCATTGTCATTATTTTATTAATTTATTTTATTGAAGTTGACCAGAGAGAGAGGGAAAGTGCGAAGGTAAGCTGCCACATCTGGGACTCGAAACATGGTCAGCCATGTGGGAGTCCAGCCACCTTAACCATCACACCACCTGCTGGCCCCTGTTTTTTTAGCATTTTTGTCATAAGGTGTGTACACTCACCGGAGGGACAGAGATAGAGAGAAGGAAAGTGAGAAAATCACCCCCCAGGGGAATGGCTCTTCCATTCTCCTTTTGGGATTTTGGGCACACACACACACACACACACGGGCCCCGTGTGAGTTTGAAGCCACCGCTGATGTCAGCCATGTGCGCCTTCACCACCACTCCACCTGCTGCCCTCATTTATATTGATTTTTAAAATGGGCTTTTTTAGAGTAGTCAGAAATGAGTGCTTAGTTTTCATGCTCCGAATTTGTTTGGTGTTCATGTCAAAGACTTAGGAACTCATCCCAAATCATACCTAAGCAAATGCCATGCAGAGTTTATAGCCATAATTCCTAATGACTTCAGAAAAAGTTTACTATCTGGCTGTAATGTTTGCCATCTCTGAAATGAATTAAATTGAAATAATTGAATTAAATGAATTAAATAAATGAATTAAATTGAAACAATATAAATGAGGGCAGCAGGTGGCGTGGTGGTTAAGGCACTGAACTCCCACATGGCAGACATCAGTTTGAGTTCTGGACCTGGTGGCTTGAAACTCTCACTGGGCCCGTGTGTGTGTGTGTGTGTATGTGTGTGTGTGTGTGTGCCCAAAAGGAGAATGGAAAATTGCAGGTAGTGTTGACAGATTGCCTTTTTAAATTTTAAAGTGTGAGAGAACATTCTCACACGGAAAAGCTCTCACTGCACCTTGATGGTCTCTGTATTTTCTCCTGGTGATTCTTCCTGGACTCAGTCAGTGGGTGTGTCCTTACGGTCTGTCACATACTGGGCCATGAGGGCCCGGAGAAGAGGCTCCTTTGCAGGCACCCCCAGATGTGCCCGGCCCAGTCTCTCCTCAAGGCTCCTCTGTCTGGTGGGACTCTGGGCTCTCTCGGTCCGTATGGTTCATCTCCTTCATTCCTGGGGCCTCGTTTATGTGCTGGTGCCTCAGAGTTTCATTCCCATCTTTGGCTCTGCCCAGGCCCTAGCCCGCTGCAGCCTATAGACCCTCTACATGTGGAGGCTCTCAGGCTCGCCACACCTCTCCCATATGTTCTGAGCCCAGAACTCACTGCCCTGCCCTGCTCCAGCCTGTTCCTGCATGTCCCTTTGCACAGAATGGCATTGTGTGGGCCACCCCTTCTCTACCTGCTCACCCCTATAAGACAGCCAGTGAGTCAGAAGTGACCTGACTTTAGCCTCCTACGTGAATCCCCCGCTACCAGGTGTACCTGGTCTGTGTCACTGCCCTGCTTCCTTGTGGTGTACTCCAGGCCTGCCCCTCAGGGCGTCCTTCCCACAAGCCTTCAGACAAGGCCACTGGCTACTGAACTTGTAGGAGCTCTCCTGGCTGACTGGCTGAAGAATCCAAGCTGGCCGTAGTTGTCATGTGGGTTGTCTGATATATGAAATTTATCTCACCATTTCTGCATCTGGGCATTGCCTGTAAACTGGAAGCAAAGTCTGAGGCTTCATTAAATAGGACTCAGTCTCTTACCAAGAGATCTTCGTATCAGCTGCTCTGTGCCCATGTTGCAGCTTGTGGTGCTCACTGCTCCGTTAGCGCAGGTTCCATCACTTGGCTAGGACAGTAAGGAACACTTTTCCCTTTGCAATGATCTCTATAAGGAACATTTTTCCTTTTAAATTAATGAGAAATCCTGGGGTCTCGCAGGCGTCCTGTGAAGAAGACCTTGTTCCCTGTGACTTTAGCATCATGGTTTATGCTGGTGCCTACTAAATACTCTTGCCTAGAGCATTGTGTGAGAATTGCTCTCTGCTTTTCTGCTGCCATTCTCTTCTATGAACAAGCATTTTTTCTGCTCCATGCATCCTGACCTCTCTATCCTCCCTTGCTGCCCACCTCCCCATTGTAGATTTCTGGATTTAAAAAAAAAAGCCATGTTGGGGACCAGTAGTTGGCATAATGGTTATATTGCTGGACTCCCGTGTAGTTAACTGTAGTTCAAGTCCTGGACCCAGTGGCTTAAACTCACACCAGGCATGTGTGCGTGCGTGCC